CTGTGAGAAGATGCCTGTAAATGATGACTTGTGCACGCTAGACTAGGGTCCCTTTCAGCATTTCTGGTGGTGCAGATGGTGAAACCCTTGGTTTGCAAGTTTGAACCAGTCTAGAAGCGCCTTGGGGAAAAGGTGAGTATTCACTTGCCCAAAATTACACTTAGAAGGTGGGGTTGAATCCAGTTGAGTCTTTAAAGTCTTTGGGCTGTTGATGTAGAACCTGGCCCCTTCCTCTTAGACTGTGTTAAGAGTCACCATTGGTTCAACCAGGAACTAGTCTCTTACCATCCCTCCCACCCCCAGCGTTTGACCACATCCAGAGGCTGAAGGGGGTTGCTGTTGCATCTAGTGGGTACTTCGTAACACCCTACAAGGCACAGAACAGACCTTTACAACAAAGAATTACCCACCCAAGGCCCTATTGATCAGAGATTGAGAAGCCATGTGCTAGACTATCTTCAGAGATGGTTCTGGGTTCAGGTCAGTAACTGCACCAGTGCCTTGTCCCTTGGTTACTAAAACACCAGAGGTTGGCTTCTGGCTACCCATCAGAACCAAATTTCTGGACCCCACCTCCAGCCTTGGAGGAGAATGGATTGAGGCCCTCTTAAGAGCAGGTGTGGAGAAAGGGTGAGATGACCTGTGGATGGGCTTTTTAGCCCTCAGGGCGGATCTGTAATCCTCCTGTCTTAAAATCCTGAAAGCCACGTGCTTGCTCTGCTCTGAAGAATTTCCAGACGCTGGTGAGTGGAGATGTGACGTTCAGTGACGTTACGGGGTGCTCTGCAGCATGCTGGTGGGTGATGAGTGAACTGCTCTGTCAGGCATTTTACTGACACTCTAGAATGTTCTCCACACGGCTTCTAATAGGCGGGGAACTCCGGCTGTGCCTCTAGTCACTAGATATAAAAAGATGAGTACAATTTTGTATTTGAGCTGCAGAGTTTAATAAAGTAGACAAGATTGAGTGCCTTCTTGAGGGAAATCAAGTAAAATTTAATTAAAAACTAGAGTGCTTTATACTGAGGACATCGTCTCTGGGCTGCTAGTTAGTTGGTGGGAGCTGAGTCGATGATGATGCAAAGTTATCCCTGTCTGAAGGCCTGGATGTGCCTCTCTGTGGAGCTTCATGGTCTGAAACTCAGCTTCACGAGTTTGCTTTGGGGGAATTCAGGCACCACCTTTAGAGAGCTGAGTTGGCTGAGTGTCTTCAGTTGATTTTTTTTCTCTTCATTCTTGCACCTCGCCAGGTGTGGTCTGAGGCTGAACAACACCCTGGGCCTGGGCCTGGGCCTGGAGCTGAGCCGGCCATGCTCACACGTGTAAGTGGAGGGGCGCAGGACTTGGGGTGCACTAAGTGGGGGGAGGGGACCTTACTTTGGGTATCTGGCAGAGCTGGTGAACCCCTTGCCCGAAGCAAGGATGTGGCTGACTTTCAGGTGATCATGAACGAAGACTTAAGAGTCTAGCCCTGCATGCACTCTTAAAAGCCCCCTGTTGGAAAGGGGTCAAATTGAGGGGACTCCACCCAGAATGATGATGTACCAGTTGTCATGTTGTATGATAAAGGTCGGTTTTAACCAGCAGGTTGGTAGTTCAAACTCACCAGCTGCTCCTTGGAAATACTATGCAGGGTCATGATGAGTTGGAACCATCTTGATGTCACTTAACAAATCTGAAATTTGGAAACCAGTGGGGGGTGGCTGCCCTCTGGTCACACTCTAGGCCCATGGATTAAAGGGAGGCAGGGAATCCTGAGTCAGTCCTCTGCCTGAATGGCGGTGGCTGGGCTGGGGCTGCCTGGCAGGAGAGTAGCCAGGCGGCACTTGCAAGGATTCTGACTTTGCTTCTGTTAAGTGCTGCTTGGTCGTCAAGGAAGCTGCATTTGGGCCTGGTGATTATGTGCCGTGGAGTCGGTTCCGACTCAACAGTGACCCTGTACAGGGTTTCCGAGGCTATAAATCTTTACAAATCAGGCTGCAAACTTTAAGGTCAGCAGTTCGAAACTACCAGCTGTCGCGCAGGAGAAAGATGAGGCTTTCTGCTCCCGTAAAGATTTACAGCTTCAGAAACCCTGTACAGGGTTGCTATGGATCAGAATCAACTCAACAGCACTTAACATTTGGGCCTAGCAAATCAAAACTAAAGAGTCATGTTAGCAACAAGGAAGTCCCATCCTTGTCTACTCCTGAGTAGAGTATATTTGCATTTAGTGGCCTCCCTCAAACCCAGCTTGCAAAGCAGAGTCCTCCCAGAGTGGCTCTGTCTGCTGTGAGACTGGTCTCTACCTAGCACACATATCTGTAGGCCTAATCCAGAACCGGTTGGGTGGCCTGATCCCTAAATGAGTCAGCTTTTGCATGTGGGTGGCTTGGGCTTTTGACTCAGATGATGCTCCTTTGGTTTTACAGGATGTGGCCCTGCGAGGACCACGTGGGCCCTCACACCAAGCACAGGATTTGCAGTCCTCTCCCTTTTCACAAAGGTGACCAGCAGAGAACAGCTCGGGAGCTCTTTGGGCTTCATGTTCAAAAGTAACCAAGTTCTGCACGAGGACATTCAGTAATTGTCACAGACACGAGCCTGTAGGGGGCGCTGATGCACAGCCTGGAACAGCATTTCTGGAGTGGATTTCCTGTGAAGTTGTTGGGTTGTCTCGGGTTTATTATGTTGAAGCACAAATAAAGGTACTTGATGAAGCTGACTCACGTGCATCGTGCCTGCACACTTTGAAGTAGCCGTTCATTCTCAGTCTTGTCTAAGTAGAAATTTCACAGAATACTTGACCCCAGTGACATGGAGTGGCATCTAACCAGTTCTATTTTGCTGCCAAATCAGCCCTAATTCATGGTGAGTTAATGTGCTGGAGCGTAAGATCAGTGGTTCAAGCTCACCAGCTGCTCCCCAGAAACCCTATACAGGGTCGCTATGGGTCGGAACCAACTCATAGCATTTAGCAACAACAACCTCCTCTCTACTCCCCCTGTTCAGGAGAAGGGGTTTCCGAATCTTAGCAACGGGCAAGTGTGTGAAATACTTGGGCATGGAAGGTGAACTTCTGCCTTACAAATGGAGGCTTCATCTTGATGGCTTTGCAACCCATAAACATTGCTCTAGCTCTCTGACTTCAGGTCTTAATAAAGAATTTAGAGAGGTTTTCTAGAGATTTGATTGGGAATGGGGGAAATGTCAAAATGTAGATAAGGGTCCAGAGGTTCGAAGTGCGGAAAACAAGGCAAACCAAGATGTCCCACACTGGCCTATTTTAGAGCAACCATTCTACCCAGAGAAACACTGAGCACTGACTCCTCCAGACGGGGATGGGTTGGTTGGTGTTGCCAAGTCAAGGAGGCTGGAGAGGCTTGGCCTGATGCCAGCAACACTTAGGTGGACCCTCACTGCATGTGTCAGAAGAGCTGTGCCTCAGGATTAACAATGACTTTTTAGAAGTAAGAAGTAGACCCTCACACCTTCTGAGACTGCCCAGCACATTAATGGATTCCGCCACCTACAGACTCCAAGCTGGTCCCTGCCCTGGAGGCAGCAGGCAGTGATGGTCTTTCAAGACCCAACTTTAGTAACTAGAACCCAAGTGTCCATGTGTGTCTCAAACACCTGGATTTCTAAATCAGGATTTTTATTCTGGTGACTCGGTTCATGCCAGAAGTGTCCAAGGCCAGATCCTGGGTCTTGGGAAACCTCTTGCCTGCTACCCTAGATGGGATCTCTTTGCAGTATATGGTGTACCTCAAAGCCACTGTTCATTAAGACAGGAAGCCCCAGTGCAGGAGATAGCATAAAACCACTTCCAATAAAAACTCACTGTCTCAAGTTACTAAACTGCCTTGTTAAGTACCATGGAATCGATTCCAACTCAGGGTTTCCTAGGCTGTAAATCTTAATAGGAGCAGAATGCCTCATCTTTCTCCTGCGGAACTGCTGGTATAGCTTCGAACTGCTGACCCTGAGGTTGGCAGCCCGACTCCTAACCACTATGCTAACAGAGCTCCTACTAAACTGCTTTACTTAGTTCAAAATTGATTTGGAGCTGTGATCTAAGGTAAAGAGTTTATGGGCCATTGATGTCATGGTTTGGTGTCCTGGTGTGGCACTGTAGGATAAGCCTTGCACTGTTAACCACAGTTAACAACCCACCGGCGCTTATGAACCCTGTACAGGGTTACTATGAGTCGTAATTGACAACATGAGTGACAAGGTAGTGATGTCTCTCTAATGAGATTCCCTCAGTGACAGCTAGGCACCCTCCCACTTGAGCTGCCTCTATTTCCCCAACACAAACACAAAAGGGTTGTTAGATGGTTTATGCAGGTATCTAGTCTCCAGTAACATTCTGCCAAATTCTCATGGGGGAGGGGGCTCTCCCTCCCCTCCATAGAGAGAACTGAAGATAAACAGGTTCTCAGAAAGGTTCTTAAGACTTGTCCTTGAGTTGAATCCTTGGGAGTTTTGTGGGTGGTATTGAAAGTGGTGTGACTGGTCAGAGAATTAGGCTGGGCAGTGGGCATTTGCCTATACTACTGCTTGGTCCTACTGATAGGTACTTGGTACTTGAGTGTGCTCCTCTGATGGGTACTTGGTACTGTTGATCTGTCCTGAATCACTCCAGGTACTTTGGTACGATTGGCCAGCCCTGAGTCGCTCCACTGATATTCCTGTAGCTTGGTACCAACCACTGGCTTTGAGAAGCTCAGCTCTGAGATAATCTGCTCCTTGTTGGTCAGAGTCACCTCATCCTTGGAGTGGTCTATGTGAAGCAGCTCATTTTTCTGGCTCAAGGTTAGGGTGTCTGTCTTGGACCTTGAAGGGGCTCTCTTGGATGAATCAGGGACACGTCAGTGTCCTGCACAGACCTCCTTCTATGTCCCATGTTGGGAAGAAGCTGAGGGTTGAGGGGAATTGAGAACTCCCATAGGTTGGAAAGACAAAGGCCGGAGAGCCACAACCCAGCCAGGGGACACGAAGGACACAGGTGCTGGGGATCAGCGCTGGTATAGCTGGATGATGCCAGCCTTGTCCAGCTCCCGCCATAGGATGGCTTCCAGAGGCATGTCGTGATTCACGTAGAACATCAGTGGCTTCTTGACTTGGTCGAAATAGTGCTCAGAAAATTTCCGGTAGTTCCTGGTGATAAACCCATAGGCGCTGACCTGTCGGGACAGTCATGAGTTAGCATTGACGGAGCAAATGATGGACTGGGGGGAAGTGACCCCAACTTAAAGACAGACCATCCCCCACCTTCTTGGAGAGAAGAGACAGATAAATAGCAGTCACACCCCACACTTTGAGCTCCTGCCCACATTTTCTCACTATGGCCTTGTAACCATCAAGTATGATTATCCTCCTTGTACAAGTGGGGGACCGGGTCTCGGGAGGTCACCAAACGAGTCCCCAGTCACATGGCTGGTGAGCAGTGGCAGAGCTTGGTTTTCAGCATCATGAAGTACAAGGGTAGAGAGAAAAGCCTGGGACGACAGTGTCTCCACACCAGTGGGGACTGCAGGCCCCAGAGTCCTGCCCGAGTGAACTGGGGTGTACCTCCAGGTCCTGAGCTCTTTCTGGCTCCTGAACTTCCCTTGAAAACTGCTGCTTACCTCCTCCCCTGCCCAGCACAATGCATGCTTCTGAAGTGACCTCCAAGACTTCTGGTGCCAAAGACTCAACTTACTGCCCATCCCCAGTTCTAGAACATCCCATATGAGAATGGTCCCTGATCAGTCCTGTCTGAGAAGATTTTGCTTTCAGAAGAGGCACTGGATCTCAGAGGGGCTGCCTTGGGGAAGTGGGAGCTGAGGGGGAAGAGGCAAGGCTAGCCTGGGAGCTGTGGCTGAGAGGGGCCTGGGCTAAGGGGCACATCCACTGTGGTACCTGCTTCTGCTCCTTTAGTTGAGGGTGTCTTTCCCCAGAGGAGAGAAATGCAGATAGGGTGTTGATAGACCTCACAAGAAAGATCAAATCTTGTTTCAACCAAGGGGCTTCTTACCTGGTCACAGGTATGCAAAGCTGTCAGTAGCATAAGGGCGCCAGTACTAGGCATATATAGATCTCGAAACTTTGTCTTAATCAACTTTGATTTCAAAAACCTGGAAGCAAAGAAAGACGTTAAAACGCCAGAGGACACGCAGACTCAACACACTAGCTCAGGACTGGCTGTCCCTGTTGAACACTTCACTGGGTCATATGAGCTGGAAAACTGCAAAAACCAGTCCTTCTGTCTCAACAATTTCCCTCATTTTGGCAGGGAAGTCCTAGGTGAACTAAACTTTGGTGGAAATAAAGCACCTTGGTGAGGGAGTGGGGAAGAGAAAGAGGGAGAAGGCGGCCTAGAAGAGCCATGGGGAAGGACTGTCCCCATGCTCTCGTTCCTGGACTCCTTCAGCGAGCCTGACCCCTGCCCAGCTCACTGGCTTCCACCCACAACTGCAAAGTAACCAGAATGCTCGGGGCAGCAGTGACCTCAGCATACAGCCGAGAGCCAAGTGTCTCTACCCAAACCTTGGCTCAGGGTGCAGGTCCTGTGTCTGGGGTCTGCTATGAGGGTACACACGGTCCTAAGTGAGGCCTCAGTGTGGTGACCTTGGGCCCTGACCGCTGACCTGAGCCTGTGTCCTCTGCTGTGCCTGCTGGGCCAACCCAGCCTCCCCATCTACGTTGCCTTGAGGTACCAGCTTCCATGGGCTACAACAGGGTTTTTCAGTCCCAGCACTGCTGCCATTTGGGGCAGATTCTTCTCTGTGGCTGGGCTAGCTTATGACACACAGGATGTTGAGTAGCATCCCTGGCCTCTACTCACTATATTTTGTTGTTGTTAGGTGCCGTCGAGTTGATACCGACTCACAGCGACCCTATGCACAATAGAATGAAACACTGCCTGGTCCTAGGCCAACCTCACAATTGTTGCCACACTTGAGCCCATTGATGCTGCCACTTTGCCAATCCATCTCGCTGGGGGGTCTTCCTCTTTTTCTCTGACCCTCCACCTTCAACTCTACTTTGAGGAGGCAGCTCTTGAGAACTTCCGACCTGAGGGGCTCATTTTCCGGCACTGTATCTGACAGTGTTTCTCTGCTATTCATAAAGTTTTCAGTGACTAGAGATATTCGGAAGTAGTTCGTCACTCCTTCTTCCTAGTCTGTCTTCGTCTGGAAGCTCATCTGAAACCTGTCTACCATGGGTGACCCTGCTGGTATTTAAAATAACGGTGGCATAGCTTTCAGAATCACAGCAATTCACAAGCCACCACAGTACGAGAAACTGACAGACAAGAGGTATTTGGCTCCAAAGAAATCCACTGCTGTCGAGTTGGTTGTGACTCATGACAGCCCCATGTGGTAAACTGCTTCATAGGCCGTCATCTTAAGGGAAGCAGATCACCAGGACTTTCTTCTAAGGTACCACTGAGTAGGTTCAAACTCCCATTGGGCCACTCTGTCTCCAATACCCTGAGACTGTCCTACACCTTACAAATCTCCTTGTCTCCTGCCCATTCCTTCTCTGACAGATAAACACCTCCAGTTCCAGTAAGTCAGAAACTAAACAATAGAATGAAGTCTTTCAAACGGCCAATTCAGCACTGGACTCTCCTTACAGTTCCTGTACTAGGGCTCCTGATGGGCAGGGGGGATGAGGGAGTGGACTTCAGGGAGGAACTCTGTCCTCGCCCCCCCTGCCCCTCCCCCACCCCCAGTCCCCCACCATACCTCTCAGTCAGGTAGCGGATGAAGTCTGGGTGAAGCAGCTTGAATTTACTGGCAGAAACTTCTGGTCCAAAGTAGGTCTGGGGCCTAGGACCCACGAAAGAAGTGGACAGAGCGACCCAAGCTCACGTCATAAGTTGGCATGTGGGCCAGGGGCTGCATGGGGATGTGGCGGCGGCCAGATGGTTGTGGCCGGGGGTGGGTGTAGAAGCGGGAGAAGGGGGTGTAGAAGGTGGCCGGCAGCACGCTGGGGACTACGTGCGGCTTCCCGCTGACCAGCACATCCGTGGGCAGTGAATAGGAGAGGGAGGATGGAGGTGTGAACAGGGCTGGGGGGGTGGGGAAGGAGCAGCTGACCCGGGGGTGGTGGGGAGGTGGGGGGAGCAGAGGGAAGTAGAAGGAATCAGGGAGAGGGGGTGCCGGAGGGGGCGGGCAGGGAAAGGGGGAGGGGAAGCAGTGGTTTTGGGGGAGTGGTACTGTTGGGGGCTGGAAGAAGGGGGGTTCCTTCAAGAAGCGGGGCACATAGGGGGTGATGAAGGATGGGATTCTGCGAATGGGGCCAATGAAGGAGGCAGAGTCGGTGGGGGAGATGGACTTGGCCAGGGGTATGGTGGGGGTTTGGGAAGGGTTTCGAGAGATGGGCTTTAAACCCGACTGGGAGGGAGATTTGGAGGTGGGTGGAGTGGGACCCTGGGCCGGCCCTCGGGGCACATGTTGGACGTGTGGACTGGGGGTCAGGGAGGAAGCCCGCGAGGAAGGCTGGGAGGCTGAGGGGGTGGGCGGGTGAGAAGGTTGTCGGGAAGAGGAGCCTCCTCGGGTGGGGGATGGGGAGGGGGACGGGGATTGGGCTAGGCCCCCTGAGCTGGAGCGCTGTTGGGTGGGGGTGGTGATGATGTTGTTGATGTTGTTGATGTTGTTGGAACGGGACTGGGAGGGGGACTGGATCGGGGACGGACCGGGGGTGTGGGATGGGGAGCTCATTGGTGTTGGGAAGGCTTCTTGTCCACCCACTGACTCTGAGGGAGTTCCCCCTAAGAGCCCTGTCTGCCTGTGTCACAAAGCCCCTCTCCTCACAGGGAGTAATTGTTAGGTAATCGTCAGACTGCTCTTTGGGGGTGAGCCTGGCAGCCGGGGCAGACCTCGGGTTTGGAAGAGCTGGATGAGGCCTGCCAGGCAGGCAGGTGGGAGAAGACAAAGTACCCTTTGTTCCCACGTGCAGGACCAAGCCTAGGGGACCTTTGGACACTAGCACCCGCCCCTTCTCTTAGCTTCGTGAAACAGTGTACCCCTGCCACAGCTGTGGGACCACCCTATGAGCCTGTTCCCAGCAGCTGAGGGGGCCGCTGGACACTGAGACAGGGCCTGAGCAGAGGAGCCTGACCCACTATTCAGCAGTAACACTGAGACCACCACCCCAGGAAGGTTACTGGGGCCCAGAGATTAACAGTCCCAAGCCCCCAAACCCCACTTCCAGAGCCCACAGAGTCAATTCCCAGTTATAATAGACCTATAGGACAGATTAGAATTGCTCTCTAAAATTTCCAAGATTATAAATCTTTATGGAAGCAGCTTGCCTCATCTTTCTCCCTTGGAGCAGTTGGTGGATTTGAACTGCCAACGTTGTGATTAGCAGCCCACAGAATCATCACAGCTCTAGACTCAGTAGCATTCCCAACGCTCTGTCATGTTCCTCTCAGAGATTTTGCCACCTGCCTCCAGAAGGCCCTTGGGACTGTGAACTGTCCCTGCAGTCTTCACCTACTGTTTCCACACCTCACAGGCCCTGGGCGCAAAGGAGGAACCACAACATCATAGCATCCCAACCCTCTTTAGCTCCTCACCTGTCCCCTTTATCAAAGCCCTTGGGGACACGCACCCCCAGAATGGCCGACCTCAGCATCAGATAGTCGCGGAGGCCTGAGGGAATGAAGATATAGCGCAGATCCTGTGAGGGAAAGACAGACACTGAGCACCAATGATGACAAGACAGATTTGAACTCAAAGTGGACGAGCCTCCCTCTTCCCTTCTCCACTACCTGGTCTGACCAGAGATTGTCCATTTCCTGGAGGACTGTGGTTGTAAAACATTCTCACAATCCTTTGATACTCCTTCCTATAAGGGGTGAAGCCTAATGACCAACCTTTGTGCACAAACTGGAAAAAGTGGAAGAGATGGTGTGGGGGTCTGGGGACCAGGCCACTCACTGATGACCCCAGCCCTGTGGCTTCCTTGTACTCTCTTGGGGTTACTCGCTCTGCTGCCCTGTGAAAAGCTGCCTTTTGTATCCTGTGGACACACTGTCTTGACTCCAGTTCCAACAGAGCCTTCATATGAAGACAGCCCTTGCCAGTCCTGACCACCTGAGAGACCCTAGCCCAAATCCCCCATGTTGTTAAGTGCCGTTGAGTCGGTTCTGACCCATAGCTACTCTGTATAGGGTTTCTGCTGAGCTGCTGGTGAGCTCGAACTACAAACCTTGAGATTCAAACTGACTTTGCAATCCAGTGCATTAACCCACAGCGCCACACCAGGACTCCTCATGTTGTTGTTGTTAAGTGCCGTCAAGTCATTTCCGACCCATAGCGACCCTGGATAGGGTTTCCAAGGAGCAGCTGGTGACCTTGCAGTTCAAATGGCTTTGCAGTCTAGCGCATTAACCCACAGCTCCATACCAGGGCTCCTCATAGCTGCTCTCAAATTCCGCACCCACAGGAACTGTGAGCTAGTTAAGTGTGTGTTGTTTAAAACCTTGACGTAGTGGGGAAATTTGTTAGGTAGCATTGGCTAACTCATGCAAGTACTGTAGCCTCACCTGAAATAAAGCTAAGAGAGGTTCTCTGGTGGGGAATTGGTGGCAGAGGCACTATGTCTGTGACACCCCTGAATTCCATAGTTAGAGAAGCAACACTCAGTTTGGATCCATCCAGTGCCACAGAGCCCTGGTGTGGCGCTGTGTGGGCTAATGCGTCAGACTGCAAAGTCGTTTGATCTGCAAGGTCGGTGGTTCAAGCTCACCAATTGTTCCTTGGAAACCCTATACAGGGTCACTATGGGTTAGAATTGACTCGATGGCACTTAACAACAACAACAACAGTGCCATAGAAGCCCTTGTCCTGGGCGCTTCCTAACCCTTCTTGTGGTACTTAAAGGACTCGAAGGGAAACATGGTATGATGTTGACTAGTTACAAGAAGCTGGTGGCCAGCAAGAGATTCAAATCCTGGTCCTCCTACTTACTAGTGTGACCTTGGGCAGGCTTCTCAACCTCTCTGGACCCCAGTTTCTGAGTAATAAAACTTTCACAGAACTATTATGAAAACGCAAGAAGTCATACCTTCTTCTAGTCGGGAACAACCGAGATCTGACATTAAGGGGGGTCTGGGTTCAAAGTCTAGCTATGTGACCTTGGGCACATTCGGGGATCTCTCAGAGCCCTAGAACTTAAGTCATAAAAGGACCACAGTTTCTCATCTGTCTCTTGGGTCACAGGCTCTGGGGAAAGTTAGCTGTCATCCACAACTCTAGGACCTCAACTTGGGGCTGTTATGACAGTTGAGTGTGTGCCAAGGATAATTCTGGGAAGAGTTGCTGTTGTTATGTGCCGTGGAGTCGGTTCTGACTCATAGCGACCCTGTACAGGGTTTCCGAGGCTGTAAATCTTTACAGGAGCAGAAAGTCTCAACTTTCTCCCGCGGAGCAGCTGGTAGTTTCGAACTGCTGACCTTGCGGTTCGCAGCCCGATTCGTAACCACTATGCTACCAGAGCTCCTCCTGGGAAGAGTGGGTACTCAGTAAATACTATTCCCCCTGCGAGGAACAACAGGTTGGTTTCACCAAAGAGGGTGGGCAGTCTGGGCTTGAATCCTGCCTGATCCTTTGCTGGCCTTGTGAGGTTGGACATCAGCTCCTCACCTGTAGAAGGGGGTTGACAGGCTGTGTTTAAAGTGCCCAGCACATAGAGCACCCCCGGGTCCAAAGGAGTCCTGTATCTCCCTGACCAAGCCCTCCTTCCCTCAGCTGGCTCCATCACCTATACCCAAGATCTTGGCACCACTCTCCATCCGTAGGCCCAGGTTCATGTCCCCTGTGGTCCACCCGTGGAGAAGGTTCCAGGAACAAAGGTCCATCAGAGGCCTTACCTTTTTTTGTGGCACGGAGGTGAAGCCCAGATTTCTGTAGGAGATGAGGGAGTTCTTCATTGTGTTCACAGTGAAACCATAGAATGAAGTCTTGGTGCCCACGTCATCCTCAAAGCCTTTGATCACAGCACCATTGAGTCTGGTAGAAAGAGAGGCCCACCAGTGTCTGTGGTAAACCCGTCTGTTTGTCCTTCCAGCCCCATAGCTCCCTCATGCCTATCCACTCCCAACTGCCCTGGCAACACCAGCTGTCTGCAACCATCTTCAGATCTCAAGGACTCCCTATCAGTGGCTAAATACGGCCCTGGCTGCTCCTCGGCTGTGTTACCACAGTGTGCTGTTGGCATTTTCCTTTGTCCATGCCTGTCCATCCTACCAAGCTAGTTCTGACAACAGTCAGTGCTGCCCAGGGTTCCGACTTTCAGAAATGTTCTCTCCACCTGACTTTTCTCTCCTGTCCCCTCCTGGTCCCTGGCCTACATACCTGAACACATAATCATGGGCATCGATGTTCAGACCCTGGCGGGAACCATTCAGAATCCCTCCGTTACCCACCACAGCACACCGAATGCAGTCTGAATGTGGTTCTCTGGAGGTCCCTAACAGCTCCCCACTGTCTGAGTCGTTCAGAAGGTTCAGGGTGGAGGCAATGTCTGTAGGTGCAGGACAACGGGGTACAAGGAAGGGGTCAGAAGGGTCATCTGGAAGCTCCCAAAGATGACCTGGATGAGGTAGGTGTTCCACCTCACCTGAGGCCTGAGCCGATGCCTCTCAGTGCACAGAGATGGAGGGAGAGGAAGGTGGAGGAGGAAACACTTGACTGGACCCTCTTTGTCCTCCAGAACTCAGAATAAAGAGTCCTCCCAAGGCTGTGCACATTCCCAAAGGAAAGAAGCTGAGGAATGTGGTGGGGTGGGGCAGGGGCTCTGGACAGTGAAGTGGGTGGTTTCCACAGAAGCACAATGAGCCAGGCTGTGGGAGGTCCCCATGGCCTCTGTCCTCAGCTGCTTTTGGACACTGGTGCCAAAGAGGTCTCAAGATTGTGTGAGTCACTCCGAGGGGGCAGCCCTCTCACCAAGCCCCTCAGAGTCTGAGGTAAAGTGGGAGTGATACACAGCCCCAGTCAAGCCATCTGAGAGGAAAGCAGGGACAGGGAGGTCCTTGTTATGGGTGTTGTGAGGGAAAGCACTCTGCCTTGGCCAAGAGCAGGCGGTGGGATCAGCTGAGGAGGAAGGGTAGTGTGTGGTTACCTTGATGGGGGAGCCCCTGCCAGCCATAGGGGGCTTTGTGTTGGCTCAGGCTGTCCCAGAGCTCCTGGGTGAAGGAGTGCCCCCCCAGTAGCACTGGAACGGAGAAATTAAACAGCTTCTGGAAATGGGGGTGTCGCTGAATGCTAAAGAAAAGTGGGCATCGGGATAGCCGCCTCTGTAGGTGAGAGGATGAAAAGTTCAGTTAGGTGGGGGTAAAGGCAGGTGGGGAGTCCAGAGACCCCTAGGAGAGTTGGAAGGGAGACATAGGTTGACCTACCCCCACCAAATTTGGCCACCCCCGGATTTGTGAGGAGAGCTAGCCTGTGGTCCAGCAGTCAGAGAACTTTCTAGATTTACCCTCCCCAGCCCTTCCCCCAGGTCTCATGGTTCTGGCCTTCATAATCCTTCACCTTACTCCTGGAGAAACTTTGGGGTGTTTCCCAAAAAAGGAATATGATCCTTCTGCCTTTCCGTGGAAGGGGTCTGAGTCCGTCTGTATGATGTGGGTGTCAAAAGGCCACTGAGGAGCTTTAAGACAGCCTTTCTCCTGGAGGAGAAGCCCTGGTGGCGTAGTGGGTTAAGCTCTGAGCTGCTAACCATAAAGTCAGCATTCGACCCCACCAACCTCTGCCAGGCAGAAAGCTGAGGCTGCTCCCATAAAGATTTACAGTGTTGAAGCCCAAAGGGGAGGCTCTGTTCTGTCCTATAGGGATGCTATGAGTAGAAGGATTGTCTGGGAATCCCACACAGCCTGGGCCTGGGTCGGGATTTAGTCACCCAGGGCTTTGAACCGGTGAGTTAGGAACTCCTTCTGAGAATCTGCATTTCCACCGGAGGTGTCCTGCAGGATAAACACTGCTCTGCTAACCACAAGATCAGAAGTTGAGACTCACCAGAAAGATGAGGTCTTCTGCTTCTGTAAATATTTGTTGTTAAATGCAGTCAGTGACCCAGGATAGGGTTTCTGAGGAGTGGCTGATAGATTTCAGCCACCGACCTTGGGGTCAGCAGTCCAATGCTTAATGTACACCAGGATTTACAGCCTCAAAAAACCCCATCACTATGAGTCGGCAGTGAGTGAGATCCTAGGTAGACAGAATCAGAATTTCATTTTAATGAGATGATAAGAATCCCTTGTGGGTCTATAAGAAATCCCCTGGGGACCTTGTTAAACCATCAATCCTGGTTCTGTCTATCTGGGGTGGAGAGGCAAATTCTCAACAGAGGGTCAAACCTGGACCGAACCGGTTCAAAGTCCTACCAACACTGAAAGGGCCTTTTGTGAAGCCCTTGGTTTCATCAAAGAACAAGGCAAGAAAAAGCTGCAATAATTTCTTCTCTCAAGTGACACTTCTCTCAAGCACCGTCAAGACAGTCCCAACTCAGAACTAAACACTGTCTGGTCCTGCTGCTGCATCCTCACAACTGTTGGAGCCTCTTGCTGCTGCTATGTTCAATGATCTCATTGAGGGTCTTCTTTTTTTATTCCCCCACATGGTGGTGGTAGTGGTAATGTGCCGTGGAGTCGGTTCTGACCCATAGCGACCCTGTACAGGGTGTCCAAGGCTGTCAATCTTTACGGGAGCAGAAAACCTCATCTTTCTCCCATGGAACAGCTGGTAGTTTCGAACTGCTGACCCTGAGGTTAGCAGCCTGATTCATAACCACTATGATGATATGTTCTTGCTGTTAAGTGCCGTCGATTCGATTCCGACCCATAGCGATCCTGTGTAGGGTTTCCAAGGAGCAGCTGGTGAGCTTGAACCGTCGACCTTGCAGTTCAAACGGCTTTGCAGTCTGGCGCATTAACCCAGAGTGCCACACCAGGACTCCTGGTGATATATAGGAGTGCCTAAAAATGTCCTCACTGTGCAAAACTGTGCAGTCAAAAACTCAGGGCTTGTGTGGGAAATCAGAAACTATGTCATTGACCCATAAAACCATAGATGGGAACCTACAGGTAGCATAGTTAGTAAATGGTTAAGAAATCTATAAATGCTACACAACGGAAGGCACTTTACCTTGAAAAAGACCCAAGGTTTGCTGGTGGAAGTAGGCGTCGGAAGGGTAGCAGCCCATGAGTTATTAGGATGTGGTAGAAGGAGGGTAGTCTGAAATCTGATGCTGAATTGTAATACTAGCTACGGATGGGTGAGGCCACAGCACATGCAGCGTGTGTGTATGTATGTGTGTGTGTGTGTCCATCCCACAATTTTACAAGAATATTCTTGTTTGCTCGTCTCCTCTTTCTTCCTCTCCCCTGAATCGAGGATGCTCAAAGTGGCTGCATTGGAGTGAGTAACCACTGTACCTTTCTTGCCTCGGAATTCAACGGGTTGGATCTGAAGAATGCCCTGGATGATGCGGTGTCCCTGCAGGAGAAGACAGACATAAAGCCAGAACCTGACTTGGCCCTGTCAGGGGGTCTCACCTGCCCTTTGAGATTTCCTGGACTGATCTCTTGGTTCTGAGGGTTGACAAAGTCCACCCATCAGGATACAAAGGTGTCTGTTACCTGGGTCCTCTACTTTTGTGCTCTGAGATTCACTCAGGTCTCTCTCTTTAAGTACACAAAATAGTAGACTCCTTGCTACATCCTGCCCTGAAAACAAATCCTTTAGCACGTGGCAGAAATGGGGGGTTCATAGAAGTAGTGGAATTGCCTACGAGGAATTGTGACCGTCTGAGGGGGTCTCCGGGCCCTCTTCCACTTGGGGTGGTTTGCTCCTGTGGGCTGGATCATGGGGCAGGGCGTGACTTGGTATCCTGACTCGACAGCTTGCCAACTGTATGATCTCAGGCAAGTTACTTCACCTTTCAGAACCTCAATCTCTTTATCTGTGCAGCAGAGGTAATGGTAAGGAGTGAGCTCATCCCTGGACGAGGTTAGGAAGAAGTGATGTTATCTCCTATAAAAGCACCTTCTCAATGTCAGCCATGGTTACTCACAGGAGGCAGGGAAGGATGTACAATGAAAAGGGTTACAACGGAACTCGACAGACCTGTGTGTTTTCCTGGATCTCCCACGTTTTCCACCTTTAACGTCTCTATCACCTTCCCTTAGTGGAAAACGGTTGCATGTTGCTTCTCTAGCAGGTTTCCACCTTATGAGGGTCCTGACTTCCTCAGGCTTTATTATACCTTGTGTCAGGAATTACCATGACATAAATGCCCCTTCCGGACCGAGGTTATGGGATTAATGTTCCTGCCCTTCCTCCTCCCCACAGTCCTACAATCAGGGTAGAGGGCAAGCAGAAAGGGAGGAACAGGGGTCCTCATCTATTCAAAAGAGTGGTCCGGCTTCTTCTCCCAGACCCTTCCCAGTCCCCAGCATCCACAAGGGAGCAGCAGGAGGAGAATTCTGGAATGTCCATTTCAAGGGAAGCAAAGGTTTCCAGATGAGGGACAAGGAGGTCTGGGGTCTTCCTACCAGGTTTCCAGTAAGACCTTGGAGGTGCAGGCCAGAAAGAGCAGGGCAGAACTACTCCCCACAGACTGGCTGCCTTATATGTACCCACATAACCCCGAGATCCTCCCCACCAGCACAGTATGACCCCTCTGCAGAGGAGCCAGGGAGCCCTGATGGCACAGTGGTTAAAGCACTTGACTGCTAACTGAGAGGTTGGTGGTTCAAACCCACCAGCTGTTCGAGGGAGAAAAATGTGGGCATTTGCTTCTGTAAATATTGACGGTCTTGGAAAGCCTAGGGAGCAGTTCTAATCTGTCCTGTAGCGTTGAGTCAGCTATGAGTTGGAATTTACAAGGGCAGTGAGTTTTGGGGACTGTCCCTTGAAACTTGATTTCATTGTATCCTCAGTCTCAGGGAGGCTTTGAGATCTCTCTCCTGTCCCTCAAAGAAGTCTCATCAGCCTGGAGGTGGACAACAGAGTGCACTTTTCATAAAACTAAATTCACTTAAGCTAGGTCATAAGAGGGTCACTATGAGTCAGAACCAATTCCACGGCACTTAACAACAACAACAACAACAAGGTCATAAAATGGAATGAAAAGATCATGGGACTTTTGCAACAGTTTTTTTAAGCCCTCTTGTATTCGTAGTAATTTCTTTGGCTTTGAAATATCCTTTCTTTTATGAAATCATGCTTGAAATCGATAGCAACTAGTAGTCCTGTATCTATCCTGGTCTCCTTTCCTTTTCTTAATTTGACAAGTCTGGAAATCCCTGTGTTTGAGCCATTAAGTCACGAGTAAATCCCCAGACTGGATTCCACTCTAATTTGCAACGAAGAGCCCTGTCCTTAGACTTTGAGACTCCGTGAACTTTGTCTCCACAACTCTAAGCTCCCTTCTTCCTGAACTCACATTGTAGCCAGGCAACTGGTCCAAAGTTCCTAGCTCTGGATGGTCACACAGTGGAGAATGCTATTCCCTCCTACCCTGCTCTCCACGGAGGCTAAGCCCTGATTTGCAACCATGCAAGTATCACCAAGAGATAAGGAAACAGGTAGATACTGGATTTTTTTAAAGATGAAGGATTTTCCAAAGCTTTGTTGAGGTAGAGTGGATGTACAGTAAACCTCTTTTAAAGTTGTACTAAAATGTTGAAACCCTGCTTAGGGTTGCTATGGGTCGGAACCGACTCGATGGCACTTAACAACAACAACAACAAATGTTTTTTAAAGGATAAGCATCGGCCTGCTAGCCATAAGGTTGGCCATTTGACTCACAAGCTTCTCTGCCAGGGAAAGATGAGGCTTTCTGTTCCTGCAAAGATTTACAGAGTCACTGTGAGTTGGAACAGATTCAATGGCCTTTACCAACAATTGTCCCCTTTATTCTTTGTCTAAGACAATGTCAAAAAGTCTTCACATATTAACCACCCTAGTTTTTTCAACCTCTGCTGAAAAACCTCTGTTTTTCCAAATATCTGAACAGTCTAAATTTCCACTAAGTTGGCCTTAGTGTGTAGACACAGAATTTACGTGTCATTGAGTCTCAGTCACAAAATTGGGTGCATTAAGGCTGTTACATCAAAGGGGAGAAGTGGCCTGACCTCTTATTAATTCACTGGGCTGAAAATATGGGTCTTGGTGATTTCCAAATGTTCAGCCATCAGTTGGTCCTCATATAAGTGGGCAACTCCTCTTTGAGTCTCCAGTAGCCAAATTAAACAGCAAACTAGCAGAATTTTGGAAGGAGAGGCTGAGCCAGAGGCACCAAAGAAAGAAGACAGACTGGTTGGTGAATGGTATCCCAGCCAGCCATCGCTAGCTCATCCCGTGAACCTTTGCAGGCAGATCTGGACACAGATGGTGGCCTGGCAGCACACATTCACGTTGGGCACTGACCACTGTAAAAATGTACTTCCTTCCTGTTTCCCACTGTCCCCTGGTGACTTTAAGTGTGGCCAACCCCCACCCCATTCACCCCTGTGCAGCCCCATGCTGTCTGGGAATTCAGAGCCTGGAGGTTGTGACCAAGCCAGAGTAAGGTGGGTGCCAACCCCCGCTGCCCTGGTGCCTGGACTCATAAACACTTAGTGTTTTTAAACATCTTTACAAATAATTGATAAGGATCCTCTTTCTTAATACACCAACCCTTCTCATTATGCAACTTCTGATTCCAAAGAAAGTTAGCTGGAACACCCTTTGGTCTAAGAGTAACTCAATCATATTGCAACTCCGTGTCCAAACTTGGAACTGGTTTCCTGAGACAGTATATTATGTTTGTTTTCATATCCTTATACCTGGAACAAGGTAGGTCAGGCACCAACAGGGTTATGAAGAGGTGGGTGATGGCATGGGGCCAAGGACTTTCCCAAGCTTCCCAGAAAGCAAGCTAAATGCATCTGAGGCTTCTTCAGTAACTGGAACCGTCCCTTGCCAAAGGCAAGCTCTCAGGTTTCTCCTTGTGGGGTGCAGATGAAAGGAAGGCGCCCAGGGTAAGCAAAGGAGGGGCAGGAGTGGGGCTTGGATGGAGCCCAGGATCAGCCCCACTTCCTTCTAGGGAATCTGCCCTGTTTATCTTCAACAGAAGTAAAGCGCTCCAGAGAAGGCTAGAAACCAGAAAGATGGAAGGAAGGCACGCTTGGCTTAGCGTCCCAACGGGGCAAGGTTGAAAGCTGGGAGAATTGGGTCCCTATTTTAAAGAGTAGAGTCTAGAAATGTGACGTTGCCAAGTATGGGTTCCCATCACACACACTGGACTCACTCACGTGACCTAGCCCAAATTGGACAATAGAAAGTGCTTCTAGGGCGTGAGGCCACCGTGAACAGCTACTAGGGCGGCTGGCAGGAGCGAAATACAACAAGGGCCCTCGGTCAGGGCTGCTCCAGAGGGGTTGGCACGGAGGGCGCACCGAAGGCAGCAAGCGACCCGCGAGTCCCAGGTTAGGCGTTCTACTGACCCCGCGCCCGCCCCGTCGGCTCCCACGTCGCCGCCCTACCTGCCTCGGGCCTGGGGTGCGGGGTGAGGCCCCAGCGCCCCGGAGAAGAATGCGAAGATTAATCCCGCGCTGGCGGCGGCCAGCAGCAGCCAGAGACGCGCGCCGCGCGGGAGCCCCATGCAGCCCTGGCTACTTGTCCACCCGTCCGTCGCTCGGGCTGAGGGAGGTGCCCGAGGTGCCGCCGGCTCCGCTGCCCGCCGGGGCCACAGGGAGGTGTCACCCCGCCCGCCCGGCCCGCCCCCGTCCCCGTCCCCGCGGCGCCTCCTGAACCGACCGCTCCCTGGAGGATGAGACGTGGGGCGCAGGGGGCACTGTGCGCTCCGCGCCCCGCTTCTGTTCCCGGGGGTGCACTCGTCTCCGAAGGACCAGGATGCCGGCGGGCAGGATGCGGGTCACGTCACTAAGACAGCTGGAGAGGGCCAACAGGGTGAAGACAAAATCCGACGACCACCCTGAGAAATGTTGTGGAGGCCCACCCATGAGGCGCGGGATGCCGACACTGCGTTCTTCTCTGGCGCGGGTTCTGACGTTCCTTTTTTTGACAAAGGGGTCCAGCCTGGGGCCCCCGACCACTGGGGAAGAGCTGGGGAACTCCTGAGGCTGGATCCTTCAGCACATAGTGGGGCAGGGGTTTGGCAGCGGTAGGAGGGCCCAGGGTGGGAGTCCAGGGCCTTCCGTCTCAAAAACCAGTGAAGCACCCCAGACTCTAGCTGTCAACAGTCCACACGAAGGAGGGGCCTGCCTGGCCACCTGCTCTCAGCTCTCAACTGTTGTTTCTGGGTTGTGGGTGGGTAAAGGCTGCCTGAACAGCCTTGGCGCCTGAGCTCCGGAGACGCATCATCAGGCCCCCGTTGGTTCTTCTACCTCCTCAGTAGCTGGTGAGCAGGGTCAAGAAGGGCATTCCACATAGACCCCCTTGACCTGAGGATGGCTCCTCAGGGAAGCTCACCTTGTCTTCTGCTACCAGGCATCACTATCAGTTGCTAGCAGACTCTGATTCGTGGCAATGTCATGAGTGTTAGAATAGAACTGTGCACCCTAGTTTTCCAAGGCTGACTTTTGGGGGTGTTTCTTCTGAGGTGCTTGAACCTCTAACCTTTCACTTAATGGCAGAATGTAATATCGTTTGCACCCCTGGGGGTTCTTGCTGATGGATGCTGCTTAAGGAGGCCTGGTGGCACAGTGATTAAGCATTGGACTGCTAACTGAAAACTCTATGGATTTGAACCCACCAGCTGCTCCAAGGGAGAAAGGTGCCATCTGTTTCTGTTAAGATTGTTGTTGTTAAGTGCAGTTGTGTCGATTCTGACTCATAACATCCCTGGATAGGGTTTCCAAGGAGCTACGGTGGATTTGAATCCCTGACCTTGTGGTTAGCAGTCCAGTGCTTATCCTACAGTGTCATACCAGGACTCTGAAAAAGATTACATATAACCTTGGATACGCTATGCATCAGTTCTACTCTGTCCCCAGGGTCACTTTAGTTTGGGTTTGGGTATTGTTTACAATTTATGATTTTAAGTCTTTCAATTTCAACAATGATTTTCAGTCACTAAAACCTTTGCGGATGCTATTTAGCTCTTGCTCTGCACCTTCTCCTCAGTAGTTAAAATCTCAGAACCTCCCCCTCAGCCCCCAGATTCCACTTCTGCCCCTCACATTCAGTAAATTACTTGCTATCTACCTCACAGAAAAAAAGAACCATTGTTGTTAGGGCAATTGTCAAGTTGGTTCAGACTCATAGCGACCGACCGTCTGCACAACAGAACGATCCACTGCCTGGTCCTGCTCATACGAACTGTTGCTACATATGAACTCATTGTTGATGCCACGTCTATCCATCTCACTGAGGGCCTTCCTCTTTGTTGTTGATCCTCCACGTTTCCTTTTCCAGGAATGGGTCCCTCCTGACAATATGCAAAAAGTAGGCAAGATGAAGTCTGGCCATCCTGGCTTCTAAGGAGCATTCTGGCTGTACTTCTTCCGATAGATTTTCTTGTTCTTCTAGCAGCCCATGGAGCTTTTACTATTCTTCTCCAACACCATAGTTCAAAAGCATTGATTCTTCGACGTTCTTCCTTATTCCTTGTTCAACTTTCATATGCATTTTATCGAAAATAACATGGCATGGGTCAGGCACACCTTAGTCCCCAAACTGAGAGTTTTGCTCTTTAAACTTTTAAAGAGACCTGGTGCAGCAGATTTGCCTAATGCAATACGTCATTTGATTTCTTCTGTCTCATGGGGGAAAAAGAGAATTATTAGCTATTATTAAATTCTTTAACTTTCCATCTTTAAACCTACACACACCTCTACCCACCTGGACTCCAACCTGAAGGGGGTGCTCTCCTTCTGAGCTGGAGTTCATCCCCCACCTGCATTAATGATGTGGGTCCAGGGACAGATTGCTGTTTACTGGGTAATCTGACGCTGGGTGTGTCCACCTCCAACACCTTGAATTGTGATAATCCTGTTGTGGATTAAATTGTTGTTGTTGTTGTTAAGTACCATTGCATCAACCCTTAGTGACCCTGTATAGGGTTTCTGAGGAGCAGTTGATGAGCTTGAAATGCTAACCTTGCAGTTCAAACTGACTTTACAGTCCAGCGCATTAACCCACAGTACCACGCTGGATTAAATTTTGCATCCCCCAAAATGTGTGTCAACTTGGGTAGGTCATGATTCTTGGTGCTGTGCAATTATTCTTCATTTGGTGACTTGATGGATTATCCTGCATGTTGTCAACCCTAACCTTTGTGATGCTAATGGGGTCCTGGTGTATGATAAGGTCAGTGGTCCAAATCCACTAGCTGCTATGCTATACAGGGTCACTAGGAGTCAGAACCAACTTGATGGCACTCAACACCTAACAACAACATGATGTTAATGAGGCAGGATTATGCTAATGAAGCAGGGTGCATAATGAGCTCTATTGGTTTGGGTTGCATCTTGAGTAAATCTCTTTTGAGATATAAAAATGATTAAACAAGTAAGCAGGGATCAGAGGGACCACCTACCACCAAGACAGAAGAGTTGGGAGCAGACTTGCAGTTTTGGACCCTGGGTCCCTTTGCTGAGAAATTCCTAGACCCAAGGGAAGATTATGCCGGGGACTTTGCCCCAACAGTGAGGAAGCATTTTTCTGTAGCTGGTGCATGGAATTGGGACTTCTAGCCTTTCAAATGTTTTGATCAATAAGTAACAGTATTATACATGGAGAACAGATTGAAGTGGTCAAAAACTTCATTTTGCTTGGATCAACCATCAACACTCATGGAAACAGCAGTCAAGAAATCAAATGACACATGGCATTAGGCAAATCTGCTGCACAAGACCTTTTTAAAGTGTTCAAGAGCAAAGATGTCAGTTTGAGGACTAAGGTGCACCTGACCCAAACTATGGTATGTTCAATAACCTTACATGCATGTGATCCCTCAAGATCAGCAGTTCAGACCCACCAGCTGCTCCTCAGAAACCCTATACAGGGTCACTATAAGTTGGAACTCAACAGCACTTAACAATAATAGCAATCAACTTTTTCAGTCTGAAACTGATTAAACATAGAATCAAGATGTATTGATCATTACTGGTGATTGGAATGCAAAGGTTGGAAACAAAAAGGAGGAATCAGTAATCGGAATATATGGGTTTGGTGATAGAAATGATGCTAGAGATCGAATGATAGAATTTTGTAAGACCAATGAATTATTTATTGTAAATACCTTCTCTAAACAGTCTAAGAGGAGTCCTGGTGTGGCACTGTGAGTTACTGCACTGGATTGCAAAGTCAGTTTTGAACTGTAAAGTTGGTAGTTCAAGCTCACCAGCTGCTCCTTGGAAACCCTATACAAGTCACTATGGGTTGGAACCGACTCAATGGCACTTAACAACAACAACAACAGTATTCATAGACCTCATTAGATGGAATATATAGAAATAAAATTGACTCTATCTGCGAGACGAGACTGTGGAAAAGTTCAATATCATTAGCCAAAATAAGACGAGGGCAGACTGTAGAACAGACCATCAATTGTTCAGATGTAAGTTCAGGTTGAAGCTGAAGGAAATTAAAACAAGCCTTCAAATGCCCTCCCTCACCACTTCTATTCAATATTGTGCTGGAAGTCTTAGCAAGAGCTATACGGAAAGACGGGGAAATTAAAGGCATCCAAACTGGCAAAGAGGTAGCAAAACTCTCCCTATTTGCAGATGATATGATCCTATATGTAGGAAAACCCCAAAGACTCAGTAAAAA